GGTCCATTTGACTCGTACACCACCTAAATTTGGAGTTAATTGCGAAAATTGTGAAAAAATGGCAAAAACGAGTCAAATGGACCTCAGATTTGGATTCAGTGGGTCGAAATATGTGGCGGCAAGTGGGTCTGGTTAAAAGCACACCAATTTTTTTTGTGCCGGTGTAAGAAATGGGTTAGGAGGGTGGTCCTCGGCTCGATAACTTGGCAATTCTCCAGAATAACGAAGCCTTCGTTTTCCAATATATTCTACCTTGGTTTTAAATTTGAAATCCAGCCCGCTTTCGAAGAAGTTTTAGTTGCTTTTAAAAGCTTCAAATAAGCCTTTTGCAATAAACATTTCTTTTACGCTTTTAAACTTATTGCAAGTTCTTTTCAAAAACTCCGTTTGAAATGCTTGTTAGATCAGACTTCAGCTATTAAAAGTAATGCCTATTCAAATTAAAAAAGAAAGAGGTCATATGTATATGTAAAGCAAGCAATCTGATTTTTGTTAACTTTTCGCGTTTGCCCTAAAAATACTTGGAAGTACGAGTATTATCGATACTTTTTTGCAAATATGATTATTTTCTAGAGTATTATAAATGAGTACTAGTATCGATACTTTTCTAAAAAGTTCTATCACTAATGGCACTTCATTCTATGTGTGCTTTTACACAGTTCAAGTATTGAATTCAATTCTGCTCGGACATGGAAGAGAGGGGGTGAGAAGAAAAGGGACGAGTACACATGCGTCTGTACCGTCAAGTCGTTTCAACTTTCTTGCTTTGCTTTTGGCATTTTCGTTGCTTCCCATTTAAAGAACCAAAGACTTGAATTCAACAGAATTGAAACGTGTAAAAGCAAATAAAAAACACAAAAGAGAATGAGCAAGAATTGCTTTCAAGTACTTGAATCATGTAAATCAGGTGTATGTAGTAGCTTACAAATACCCAACGGGACTGAAAGTGAGCTGCTCCCCAAAGGAGCAAGTAGGGAGCAGTACAAAAGCAAAGTAAAAAAATAATAATTTCTATCAATTCTCAGAAATAAATATCATTTTGATTAGTAAGATAAAATATTTTCTTTAAAAAAAACGTTAATTTATGTACAAACATGTATGTATGTACAGTGACGAACAAAAGTATTGGCACAGTGAATTTTTCGCCATATATGCAAAGGTTTTTATTCTAATTTATTTTCGATAATTTTTTGTAAAAATATAGTTTATTCTACACCAGAAAACGTAATAATAAAAACTCTAAACTTTGTGCAAAACTCAGGAAAATTTATTAAATTTGCACATTAATTTGCAGCTTTTTATTCAGATTTTCTAGAAAAATCCCAAGTATGCAGTTTTATAGCCCATTCAAATTTAGTATAACAAAGTGCAAGTTTAAAGTTGCTGGAAAATCGCGTTACCGACTTCTTCGACTCCATGCATACAAGTGGGAGTTGGTAACATCGATAACCATGTTTAACCGCAGATTAGTGTTAACCAGACATTGAGTAACCGGCCCTTAATTTCACATTTTTTAATGTCTCCAGATTCTACATCCGAGCCTTCGCTTTCGCTGGAGGAATCTAAAATTATTTCTAGATTGCTTATAAGACTTTTAGCAGTACTTATTGAAGGCCCAACAATTTTCTTGATATACTACTTAGGGCCGGTTACTCAATGTCTGGTTAACACTAATCTCCAGGTAAACATAGTTATCGACGTTACCGACTCCCTGTTATATGCATGGAGTCGAAGACGTCGATAACGATGTTTAACCGCAGATTAGTGTTACCCAGAAATTGAGTAACCGGCCCTTAGGGCCGCTTGTTAAATGTCTGGTTATCACTACTTGCCGGTTAAACATCATTATCGACGTTTTCGACATCATGCATATAACATGTGATCGATAAAGCAGTCGCCTAAGGGCCGGGTACTCAATGTCTGGTTAACACTAATCTCCGGTTAAACATCGTTATCGACGTTGCCGACTCCCTGTTGTATGCGTGGAGTCGAAGACGTCGACTTACAAAATACTATTATTACGAACGTTTTTATTAGTTTTTGTACATTACACGTTTTTTTTTCTTTGCCTTTATTGCTGTGACACCTTTCTTCTTCTTCTTTGACGCCTTCAAAACGCTGCAAGCCGCGTTTCGAACGCGTCAATAGATAAGAACATTGAGGGCCGTTTGCACCATGTCTAGTTAACGCTAACTGGAGGTACATCCTTCAGTTAAGCACGTTAACTGCTTTATCGATCACATGTTATATGATGGGTGTCGATAACGTCGATAAAGATGTTTAACTGGGAGTTAAAAGGCTCTGTTATGCATACTTGGCATTGCATGCACTGCTATACCATTTTTACGTAGAAATCAAAAACCAACAGACTTCTACGTATGTAGTGCTGTGCGTTCGATAACCGATTACACGCGAGGCTCATTTAACAGATTTCTTATGTGACAGCTCTCAAGCCATGCCAAGTATGCATAACGGAGCCTAAAGGCTCTGTTATGCATACTTGGCATTGCTTGAGAGTTGTCACATAAGGAATCTGTTAAATGAGCTTCGCGTGTAAGCTGTTACCCAACGCACAGCATTACATACGTAAAAGTCTGTTGGTTTTTGATTTCTACGTAAAAATGGTATAGCAGTGCATGCAATGCCAAGTATGCATAACAGAGCCTTTTAAGCTGAAATTAGTCAAGAACGCAGAACGTATACTTAAACGCAGTCTGTATACGCAGAATTTTGTCGATTACTGGAGCCCTCAGTGTTGCTTACTACAGTGTTGCCACTCATCAATGCCTTTTCATAGACTTACATTTTCAACTAAAATTTTTCGTGCTATAATAGATCGTAGCTAAATATAAACTACTTAGTTTTCAACAAAAAACTTTATTCAATAGTAAATTTCAAATATTTTAAACGTATTTTGAATAGGAAATTATACCTTTTTTACCATTTGCGAAACTGACGAAGTGGCAACCATCTAAAGAAGGAGAAATCAGCTGACACGGAAAAATCTAAATTCCGCAGATTTCTGCGCTACGGGCTACAACTACAGAAAAATTCTGCGGTGTTGAGTTTTCATTTACATGGCGCTTTGGTAAGACAGATCGTGTCAGCTGACTCGGGTTTACGTACCGGTAGGTTTACGTTCTTGACTAATTTCAGCTTTAGAAATAACTAGACATGGTGCAAACGGCCCTGAATGTTCGAAAAATTCGCAGCGACGGAATCGTGCACGTGTGCGCTAGCGCATTAAAATGTATGGGTAGCATTGTTGTAATTTTTGGGCTTGCGGATTCGCAACGACAGAATCGCGCCAATGTGCGCTTCGCTTTATGAAGCAAAGCGAAGCAAAATCAAAAAAAAAATAATAATGGGCGTTCCCACGACAGTCGGGTCTACGTAACCGGAACGACCCAGATTTATATTTGGCCAAAGAACGTAGATAACCATGATTCAATAATACAAGGTTAGATAATTATTGACAGCTGCGGTTTGACACTCCCTTACAAAAGGTTGCATTTACGGAGGACAGAGAAAGGGCAAGAATGCGAGAGAGACAACTGTCAGTTTATCGAACCTTGTATTAATAGGTTCATTCCTTATCTTTTTGGACTAAAATCTGAAAAGTGTCAAAATGCCAGAGCGTAAGCAAAATGCGCTCACTTAAAGAGAATAACNTTGAGTTTGACACTTTTCAGGATTTTGCCAGAAAAAATTCTTCTGACTAAATCTGACTACTTCGGACTGATGAGAGTCACTCTCACTGACTGTTGCTCTCTCATTTTTGCTGTCATTTCCGAGTTAAGGAACGCTTTTTGGACTAAATCTGACTACTTCGGACTTTTTCTGACTATTTCTGGGAGATAAGGAACGCTCCTATTGAATCATGGTAGATAACAAGAAGGGACAACTCGTTATAATTGTAGCGAAATTGCGCAACAGGGGCGTGCCTTCTCTTTTGCCCTAGTGCGTTTTTTGATTGGATGAAAAGAGAAGGCACGACCCTGTTGCGCACTTTCGCCACAATTATAACGAGTTGTCCCTTCTTGTTATCTACGTTCTTTGATTTGGCCAAGGACTCTCACTCCAGCAACACACCCCAAAAACTCTTTGGTGAACTTGTATGCTGCTTCAACAACAACAACAACAAATCATGGGCAACTCTTTACTTTTGCGCGCATGATGTGGATCATTTTGACAACCAAACAGTTTTTGGAGAAAAAACTTCACCTGGCAGCTCGGTTTATAAAATATTGATATTTGTATTGAAAATCGATAGCAGCTGCATTTTGCATTTAAAATCGATATGCTCCTATGCTTAAAATTGATAACTGTACCTGTCGTAATACACCATGTTCTTGTAATTATTTTTGAATAATCAGTATATTTTAAATACTCGTATTCTAATGTTATATGCTAATTTACTTATTGCGAATCGATAATGTCCTATTACTTATAAAATGCACAGAACTACAAGCCCAAAAGTCTACGTTCAGACAGAGAAACTTTTGTCGCGGCAACTAGTTAAGCCTGCTATACAGTTCAATGCGAGCGTGAGCGTGAGCTTTTTATTTTGACCAGTATCTTCGTTATTGCTTAATTTTTTGTAAAAGTGGGAGAGGGAGTGACGAGGAAGGGGGAGGGCACCGAGTTGCTCGTGCTCGGGCAAAACGCTGTGAGCTCTCGTTCGTCTGAGTAATTCTAGTTGGCCGTTCATAGCTGACAACAACAATCGTGTCCAAAAGAATTGCTCTGTGTGAACGCGAAGGGCAACACCAAAAGAGAAATTGCCGAAAATGAGCAACAAAAGTTTCTCTGTGTGAACCCAACCCCCAACTCGGCGTTCGTTGTAGAGAGCGGGACGAGGAAAGGAGAGGGGCACCGAGTTGCTCGTGTTCGGGCAACACGCTTTGTGCTCTCGTTCGTCTGTGTAAATTGAAAAGCTGTTCACAGCTGACAACAACAATTGCAACCGAGAACGTTAAACGACTTTTGGTACGATTCAGACTGTCATCCCTAGGGTATTATGCTGACATTTTCATTTGTTTATATTGAGCACTTTACACAAACGAAGATGCAATAATTTGTCTACGCTGCAATTCTCAAGGAAGAAAGTACAATTCAATATTTTAACGCAATTGTAAATATGGCCGGGTTTGTAGCAGTCCACACTGGTAGGGGCCTTTAAATAATTAATTAAAAGAAAGATACATATGCATATAATTATTTGTATGTACTTTCATTCTTTATTTAGGTGCTGGAAATTGCATAGATGAAACCAAATACCAGCGCGTTATCAAAGAAGCCTGTGTACGAGCCACAGACATACTTAAAAATGGTGGTTCCGCAATGGACGCAGTTGAGGCGGCGATAATGCGTCTCGAAAATTGTGGCAATACTAATGCCGGGTTCGGGTCCAACCTCTGTTGGGATGGGCGAGTGCAATGTGATGCATCCATAATGAATGGTTCGAATTTACATTTTGGAGCCTGCACAAACGTGAGTACAGTACGAAATCCGATACGATTAGCTCGTTTGATATGCGATGGGCAGTCAACTATGCTATCAATGGAGCGCATACCGCCAATGGTAATGGCTGGTAGTGGCGCAGAAAGGTATGCTGAAGAACTAGGTTGCACGATGATCGACGCCAGCGCCATGATTTCTTCCAAGGCAAAATTCTCATATAACCACTATAAATCTAAAATAGCGGCAGTATCACCCGCAGCAGAAGGAACCACTAGCACAAGTAATGGGATGTCAACGTTACCAGTTGTCTCAGCTCAAGTTAGTGCCCTTGATACTGTTGGAGCAGTGTGTGTGGATAGTAACGGGAATACAGCTGCTGGTTGCAGCTCTGGTGGACTATTATTGAAGGTGCCAGGACGCGTGGGTCAGGCAGCCACCTATGGTGCAGGTTGCTGGGCCACTAACACCAATGAAATCTCTGTAGCGACTTGTACCACCGGAAATGGTGAATATTTAATGAAAACATTTTTGGCGAGAGAAATTTGTGGAGATTTGCTAGCAACTGATTGTGCTGTAACAAGCTTACATAAGAGTTTTAAATGCAAATTTTTGGAGTCACCATTTCTTCCTGTCGATCAAGAATTGTATGCGGGCGCGCTCTCGCTGATCTATTATCCGCAAGGTAACACTGGTGAAGTTCTATGGAGTCACACAACGAAATCTTTTTGTGTGGGATACATGTCCACACAACAGAAGGCGCCGAAGGTCAGTGACCTATTGAGTAAATCATTTAATGTATTAAAAAAAATAATAATCTTTTCTTCTGTGAAATCGCAGTTTATTTATTCACCACTGCCAACATATAGTATGCCAGGCAGATCGTGTGTCGTCAATGGGCATAATTTCCATTTACATGTCTAGTCGCCGGCAGCGCAGCTACTGTAGCCGCCGTTACTAATGAGAGCATTTATTGAGATTGCTAGCGCTGCATACATATATTCGTCATTCTTTATTTCCGTACTTTATTGGGTAACTACATGTTTATTTATGCAAAACATTACAGTTCGGCAAGACGAAGATAAAAATAAATAAAATCCATTTTACATTCACATACATATTTAAAATAAGAAGAAATAAGCACAATTGTGATTTAAAAGTTTCAATTGGAAGTAATATTTATTCATTAGTTGTGAACTTACGATGTATGTAAAGTTTGCACTAAATTAAAAAGGCGATTTATAAAAGATAAATGCATATAAAAATATATGTGTATATAAAACATTTAACATATATAGCATGTATATAATATTCATAGCCATTTTAACTAAAAAATATTTTTGAATTTAATTGTGAGAAACTGCTTTTAATTTGCCAAAGCGAATAGTGACCATAGCCTCGATCACATTAATGTAGACAATTATAGTTTATAATTTTTCATTTATGTAAGTATGTACTTAATACTCGTCATGTCTGTGTCTATTATATTAGATGAAGGCAAATATGGTATTTTGAACGATTACAATATATAATGTATTTTGTAGTATTATGTCAATGTTATGCTTTTTCTATGTATAAACTAAGAAATGTATGCATTTATACTTACGAAATCATTTTATGTTGTCTAACTAATCACTTAAATGTTAAGGTAGCCTAACGCCATGTAGTTCTTTCGTTGTAGCGTACGTTTGGAATAGCTTTAAAATAGTTGTAATTTATTTGTATAATTATTATTATTTTGTAATGCTTTTCAAATTCTATGTTGTTTATGCAGAAAAGAAACTTCATGTGCGTAGTTTTTAAGAAACAATGCAAATAAAATATTGACAATAAATGTATCGTCACTACACACAAATAAAGGCGCGCTAGTGTTTTGACGGCGAAAAAAGACGCTTAAAGAAAACTTCGCCGAAGAAAGACGTAAAACCTAGTTGACGGCGAAGAAGGACGCGTTAACACAGATGTATACCTGTAGCTCATTTCTGTAACAATTCTCTACCAAGGCGAATTGAGATATAAATTCGCTGCGCTGTTCTCTACTGCTAATGAGTAGTAGAGAATGATGTATATTCTCTATCACTAGAGAAATAATCGGTAGAGAAGAGTTACAGAAACGAGCTACTGGCCATGGACTGTCGTTTCAGAATCATTCCAAAAAAACTCTTTGGGGAATTTACATACTGTTACATACACATAGTCGACCGCGAAAATAAGGGGCTTGTTCGAGTTGCAATCACAACCGCAGTGTAGCGCGAATTATTAAAGTATCACGTTCGGTCTGAATTTCTAGCAAACGTATTGTAAGTTGGGCAGTTGCAACAGCGTTGCAAATTTTCATCAGTGCAGTAGTAATGCCGCTTTTATTACGTGCCTCGAACAGGACCAAGTTTACGGGTCTTTCTTCGCCGTCGAATATTGTAACGCGTCTTGCTTCTCCGTCAACTATGTTAAGAGTCTATCTTCGCTGAAGTGTTTTTACGCGTCTTTTTCGCGGTCAACTTTTGAGCTTCGTGTCTAGTGACGGTATGTAGTAGTTATAAAATAATTGTGTCACAGCTTAAGTTTTCTCTATATGTGTATGTTTATAATAAGAAATGGGAAATATACATGTTTTGGAAAATTATAATTATTTATATTCGAAGGAATAATACATATGTTCAGTCCCGCATAAAATTATTGTAAAATTTTTGGCTTTAAATTTTTTTTCGCGGAAACTTGATAAAAATATAGTAAATACTTCAACAAAAAACATTTCTTCAAAAAACTTAACTTTGCGCAAAACTCATGAAATTAAACGCGGTTTTTAGCAACTATAAACTTGCCCCTTATATTTTAAAATTTAATGGCCAACAAAATTACTTTATCAAAATTTTTCTAAAAAAAAACAGCGGTCGGCCCTCGGCAAGCAATGGCAAACCTCCGAGCGTATTTCTGCCATGAAAAACAGCTTCTCATAAAAATACAATCGCCGTTCGGAGACGGCGTAAAACTGTAATTCCCTCCCCTTTGTTAAATTTTTCGCAAATATTTTGCATTCTTTGTACGTTTAAATTATATCGCTTTTTTTTTTTACTTGTTCAACTGTTTCAGCGCTTTCAAATCTAGCATGCCGATTCAAAAACGCCCTATATCAGCATATTTTCAATACATTTTGAAGTGAGATAGGGCGTTTTTGAACTGAATTTTGAGATAGGGTGTGCAAAAAATGAATGCCAACATTATTATATACATTAAATAAAAAACTACTGTTATACCTGTTTTCCTAGTAATTGCGTTGAATCTATACGATCCATAAGCAGTTATATTCCCTCTCTGAATTTTGAGTAAGCTCACTTTAGATCTACATAGGTGTGCGATATGTTCGGCGATTCCGCTATGCATTTTTGCCGAAATTCTGTTAGGTAATACAAATTTTGTAACCGGTAAATAAAGTTTCTGTTTGCGCACTCTTATAACGGTAGATAGATAGATGAGATGATAGATAGATAGTTGTGTATGGCACTACGACCGGTAGGTCTATTGTGCCTCTAGCTCATCACAATACCTCGACCAGCCCCAGAGTGTCTATAAATTTCATAATAGACCCCGGGGACAGTGAGTGTATGTGCTCCTCTCTTGGCCAGACGTGCCCTATGCTCCTTACCTCCTGCGTGCAACGGCCTCACATTCCATAAGAAGATGCAGGGGAGTCTCCTTGTCCGCATCGCAAAAGAGACACAGGTCGCTGGACCAGACCTAGTTTATACAGGTGCCCTCTGAGCCTACAGTGGCCAGTCAAAAAACCTGCAATAATTCTTAGTTTATCCTTTGGGAGATCCATGAGCAGCCTGTATCTTATCTGATTGTAGCCTCCTAACATCACGGTAGCAAAATATTGGCTTGTGAAATATGCAACACCAGAATTACTACAAAACTTCATAGCTGAATAACTGAACAAATTAAAACGTTGCCAAGGTACCTAGAATAGCGGTTACAAGAAGCGGTGATAATTTTTGGTAACCGGTTATAAGCAGAATAGATGTGTAAAAAATTATATTTTTTTGCAGGAGCAATATAAAATGATACGTTCCGATAATAGCAAACTGAAGAAACAGAATACCGAATTGTTGCGAGAGTTGGATGTGAAGTGCGACCAAATAAAAACCATGGAAAATGACGCTGCTTACTACGCTCAACAGTGTGAAGTAAGTAAATCATAAGATATTTTTAAGCAAACTTACCTTATGCCTTTGAAACTACGTACCTCTAGATTTTGCTGCAAACGAATGCGCATCTGGATACAGATCGTAAAACTTTGATGGATAATGTATCACAGTTACTATCTCAGTATCACGAGTTGCTTTCACATTCTTTGGAGGATAAACAGCATTTTCGCGAAGAGGAGAAGAGTTACACAGAGCGCTTACACAACCTAAGTCGCCAGAAAGAGAAGTTGGAGGAGAAAATTATGGAACATTATAAGAAACCCGAAACTGTTATACCAAAAAAGTATACATATACATATAATAATGTTCACGTTATTGTGATTTAAATAAAATATGTTTTATGATTTTTTAGGAAGCCTTTTGCGAGTAGCATTGTGCGGCGCGTAAAGAAAGCGGGCTCAGATTTCATAAATAAGGTACCAACAAGTCGGGTGGGTGTTGCTCGCATTCGTTATTTCCACTTTCACATACGTACATACATATGTACATACAAATATGTAAAAAGCTTAAATAACCAAACAAGTAATATGTATTCCCCAATTTATAGAATCGCCGTTCATGGGTGGATGATTCACGTCTAACACAATCGCAATTTATGATTGGCTCTGAATCTGGTGGCAACGACTCAGATAATAGCGCAGAGGAACCAATGTCTATTACATCGGATACACATTTACTCCAACGAAATATGCCAATGCGTCAAAGTTTGCAACGGTAAGTAGTGTTGGTCAGAATTAGTTTAAATGTTTTGCTCGCATTTTAGTCGTTCATTTGTGCCATAGGTAATTTTGAGTTAAAAATATGTACTTTCTGTACGTGTATGTTTACTATATGTGTATGTTTACTACATGTGCTATTCGTCAATTTGCATTTATTTCATTTTTCCTAAATTTAGTGAGCTAATGGATAATACACTTTCACGTGGCGGTGTGCGGAGTAGTTTGCAAGCACAAAAGCGTACGGATTTGAATAATTCTCGTAGAAATAGCGTGCACGGGTAAACTAAACTACATATAAACATATTCTTATTTTTGTGCAATTAATTTTTACCCATCCAATTTTTCCTCTACTTTCAAACGCGTCTTTATGTGTTAATGGCAACCGGCATGCATTTCGGTTTAATTGATTGGTTGGTTGGTTGGTAGTGGGTGTAGAAAGAAAATAAAAATGTGGAAACGATTTTTGGGTAAATATTGCGAAAGAAAACCATTGAAAGCCATCAAAATGCTTTTTATTTGTTTGTGTGTGTGATAACATACTGCTAAATTTTGTTGTTGTTGATTGCTTTCTTTACGTTTGTGCATAGGTATGTAACATGTGTATATAAACATATGTATATACATTTTTATACCCAATGCATGGTTGCGTGCATTTATTTGGAAATAGCTCAAACATTTTAGATCAAAATTTTCCCCTTGTACAAAAATAAATATTAACTGAAAAGATAGAAATATGTTCGCAAAATTTTATCAAGAGGACAAGTTGCCATGAATCCTTAATTTGGCCAAAGAGTAACATATTAGTTGCGTTCCAGATAACTTCGTGTTAAAACCTGTAAAGCTGTCAAATAACAAAATTACTTTCTTGAAGAGAGGAGCGAGAGCGAAACAATAAAGGTCACCTGGAACGCGAAAACCACTTTTCCTGTAACTACTTCGATTTTTTTTTTATGTAAAGTGCCATGGAGACGATCAAATATCTTTATCAACCGTCTCGCGTTATGCTTGACAAAAAACAAACGCACTTGCCTTCGTGGTGAGCAAGTGCGCGGACAAGAAAAATAAATTTTTTGTTTAATTGACGAGTTTATTTGAACGTTTGCGGGCCAATCTCATACATATGCAATGCTTGACGTATTTATTTGATTGTCCCCGTGGCGCTTAAGGTTCTGTGTTTGTTTACAAATGCAACCCTGCCTATCGTTTGACACTTTTCATGAACTTGCAGGAAGAAAAAGGTGCAATCCCGTATTCCTCGGACTCGGACTAGTAAAACTGTCAAAAAATAAAAATTCGCTCAGAGCGAGAGAGTAACATTGAAAAGTACGTGATCGCTTTCTACACCTTTTCAAGTTTATAATGAGAAAATACAAATTGATAATGAGAAATGAAAATTCATATTGAGAATATATAATCTGATAATTAGAAATGTAAATTGATATTGAGAAAATACAAATTGATAATGAGAAATATAAATTCATATTGAGAAAATAC